TGACAGAGGCGAGGCTGCCGGACACTGGCGCCACCGGGCCCTCTGACCACCACCAGTAGGCAAACATGGGGTTAGTAAAATGTACTTTTGTACGAGTATTTCTGTAGGAACCACCAAACTGAGGGGGCATGCCTCTAATCATGCATGCACATACATACTAAATGCAAAACAACTGCCCTACAACAAAATAAAGATTTTGTTACAATTTTCCTATCATTAATTGTAGCTGTTTTATTCCTCATGCATTAACTTGTGGTTAGCGATGGCTACTGATTATTCTGCTCAAAGTCGCAGGAAAACAAACATATACATGGATGCTTGCTTTGTGCTGTTCTTCAGCTGCAAAACAAACTTACTGGCAGCTCATACATTTTACCAGTTTAAGCTATTTCTCCTTGTAATTTTCCTTTTTATTTTTCTCAGAAAAAAGATTTCTCCGCTCACTGCTGCTACAAGAGCCGTGAAAGTTGAGCTAAGCAAACAAAGCTAACTGTATAGAGCCCAAATGTCCCCAACCACCACCAAAACCCACCCACTCATTTGGCGTACAATTGTCTAGTTGTTTTTTTTTTTTTTTGTTTGTTTGTTTTAAATCCCCTTAAACATATGGGGTTAGCCTTTCTTTCACAGCCAGCTGAAACAAACAACAAACAAACAAATGCAATGCTAATTTAAGACCAAAATGAACTTACCGTCAAAGCATGGAAAGCTTTAGCTAGTTAAACCTAGTAGCTATTTTTTGTGGCAGAGTTACAAAAGTGCATCCAATTATATTGTAGTAATATGTAGTAGGTAAGAACAGGATGTTCCCAAACACCTAGTTTGCAACAAAAGATAAAAAAGAATAAAAAAAAAGTTAATATTAAGCTATATGGACATCTCCCAAGTGAGTCTGACGTGAGGACGGAATTGATCCCAGTGTGGTTATCTAAGTCCTCCTCTTAACTCCTCCTCCTTCTTCTTCGTGATTTTCTGTAACTGCATATTTTCCGCCACCTACTGTGCAGTCTGAAAATATCTGGACTGTCACCCACTGTAAATCATTCGCCTCTGCCTGTCTGAGCAATGTATTTCCAATATAACAACCCTATAGTAACTGAACTGCAAATTTACAGATTTAATTTGAGTGGTTCTTTTGCGACCTCCTGCGAACTGCGACCTGTTCATGCATTTATGCAGTATTTTTGGTAAGTCCACCACCAAGTTCCAAGTTTTCCCCTTTTGTGAATAATACCAGGAAAATACTTATCCTGGAACCTGTGGATATCACTGATTAGTGGGCTTCCTGTATTTGGCTGATTTTTATAGCTGCTTCCATTTCGGCCTCTTCTGTCTTCCTTGACATAATCAATGAGCAAGTTTCACTCTAATTAAAA